ATCAATGACAACTGCAAATATCAATGGTGATAGTACCGAGCCTTGATGCACACCCACCTTCACCTCAAACATAGTTCAATGTAATATAATATGGTTGGTTGTTTCTGTTTAATTTATTGATCTTTTTCTCAGATATCATTTTCTATGAAAGAGGGAACCAAGAACACTACTAGGTGAGTTGTGTCTATAATTTCCCTTATACTGTAGTGTACTTTATTTTTGCTTGGAATTTATCTTTGCTGAAGTGCTGCTTCAGTGAAAATAAATTTTTTCCTACGTCTCGCATTCAACTCATCAAAAATCAGTAAAAATAAATTCCATACAAAACACCCAAAAAGCCTTTTCAGCGAAAATTAATTCCAGCTAAAATAAAGTATTTCACAGTATCCAGCAAGACTTGACATCAGTCACTTCTGGTTGATATATCTGATTATTATACGTTTTAATTTTGTATAACCATATTTTCTCTGATTAAAGTCTGATCTTGTCTTGTATCCTGTAGTTTTTCCCCTCCAAGCTCTGTTGTGACAACTAAAAAACCAACCAGTCCAAAATTTGATTCCCCTAAAAGTGGTGGAAAGATGAGAAGTCGAAGTACTCTGCACTACTCTGCTGGTAAAGAGGAGGAAGTACAAGAGGTATAAAAATGATGTCTTTTTAAATCCGCTAAAACATTGATGGAAGAAGACTGATAATCAAAGATGATCAGATGCTATTAGGGGGTTGTTACTTACTGTCTACACACAGGAAACTATTACTTATTGAAAATAAAATCCAGCAAATACATTTTTTTTCTAAATTTTACATATTAAAATCAGTGAAAATAAATAATGTATTTTACAGTCTTTTAATTTTAATCTTCCATACCTAAAAAGATCCAAAGATTTGTTTTTAACTTTGATATACGACTCGCTTTGTTAAAATTGGAAGTATTATCGATGGACACAATTCATTGGACAGTCCATTCTTTTGAGGTGCTTCCAGTAAAACTGAATTCAAATATTGCTCACCCCCCGCATCATTTTAAAATCTCTGCTACGGGTATGTCAGCTACAAGTGGGCCGCACTTACCTGTATTCACCATGAATTTAGAGAAATCATCTCTTTGTGAATATGTAGAAACTACGAATCACACACAGCAGCACCAATCTCTAATGAATAACATTTCCCTCACGATCGACTACACCTCAGTGTAGCTCTGCAATATACCAAACAGTCATTCATCCATTTATCCCTGTCATCTCATCTCACCTCGCTTCCTCTTCTTACAGATTGAACAACCTGACCTTCCCACTAATGTGCCGCTACCATTATCTAAAGACAAATCACTTCCGAAGTTCAGCTTTGGCTTGTCAGCTCCAACTCCTTCAACCGCAACATCTTCTCGTACATCTGGATTGATCACGTCAACTCCAGCAGTAGGTTCAACTAAATCAGATTTAGCATTCAAGTTTGCATCTCCTATTGCTAAGGAACAGGCAGAGGATGACGAAATCACTGCAAAAGATAACCAACAGGTGTGCCTTGTTTCAGAATATTTTCTTTTATCTAAGCTGTAATTCATTGTCTTCACTCTATGTGAACTTTTCTTGTTACTGTAGAACACTTCACATATTACTTTATACTTACACACACAGGTGGACTAATGGTAAAAAACAACAACACTGAGGCTGTGTATTGTCAATGCTTGTTGCATTTAGAATTGTTTATAATTTTGGTAGTCTACATTTGTCTCTTGTTACAGCCCATGTTTCAGTTCAGTGCTCCTAACCCTGCTCCTTTTGGAGATGACGTAAAATCCGGTAACATCTTCCAGTCTGCATCCCCAGTTAGCCGTAAACAGCAGGATGAGGACAAAGAGGAGGAGGAGGAGGAGGAGGAAGAAGATGAAGATGGTGATACAGGAGGTGGTTTATTCCAGCCAGCAAAACAATTGAAAACTGGTAGTTGTTTAGAAGTGCTGGGAATTGGTAAGTTGATCTGATCATCTTTGAAACAAAGCAAAATCTCTAGCTCAGTCTGCTTATCCCAACTAGTGTTGACAGTATGTTGTTGCCTGTATCATGAAAAGTAAAAATATTGTGTAGTTTTCAATATACAGTCCCTGTCTATAAAGGACAGTCAGTGGACTGAGCCAAACTGTCCTTTATAGACAGGTGGTCTTTATATGGAGGTGGCCTAATTTATTCATTCAATCATGAATATTAATTAGGGCGGGAATTTTAAAGGAGATCATAAGTAAAACATACATTATGTAAAAGCAAACCTACACATTGTACAATGAACAGGTCATTTTTAAAAAAAGTCACTCATTTTTATATTTTTAATTACAAAGCTTTAATTTTTTACTACAAATTATATCATGTAAATTCACTGGAACCAAGTGATTCTGCCCATGGATTCATTCGTGTATTTAATGCATAAGAACGATTGTCAACGATCGGCCGCATTGGCGTTTCAGTTCGGTCTTTCACACTCTCGCCGTGCAGTCTTATTCCCTAGTCTCTTACACATATTCCATCACAGGCGGTAATCAGCCCCATCGTTAGTATTGTCGATTGTACACTGTGACAAAATGCACAGGCAAAGTTGCCGTTTTTGAAAAAACAAACAAGCATTAAAAATGAAGAAGCATTGGTAATAAACAAAAATTACCAAACTCGTAACGATTGCTCCAACTGTCGGTGTTGAATCAGAAAGTCAAACGAACCGGAAATGAAACACGATGATCGTACATGCAATTTTACAGTTATTTGTTGCAAGCATCGACGTGTCAAACTGCCCAAACGCAACGAATTTTCTCGATTGCGATTATTGATATTACCTTTTAAAAAAAAGAGATCAAATAGAAAACATCTTTCGTTGAGATAACCCTGAGATG